TGAACCCATTTCTGTCTGGCCCAGAGCTGCTCCTTAACCACTCCACTGTAAGGCTCCCTCAAACACGTAAAGACTAGAGCAGAGGGTTTGGAGGGCCAGGACTAAGATGCCATGTCTGCACACCACATCTGAGTGGACCCCAAACAAGTGAGTGGACCCCAAACAAGTGAGTGGACCCCAAACAAGCACACTTGCTGGAATGGACCCCAGTGTCACCCACATCAAGACGACAGGCTTGCTCTACCTCCAAGATTCTTGGGGACCTCAGGCTCATCCTTGAAGCAGCAATCTCGTCTTTTTGCCCTTTTCCCCTCTTTGAAAGTGGGAGAGGGAAGACGGCCTTGTTCTGGCTCAGCCAGAGAGGCAGGTACTTTCCCTACCTTTCTTTTGCAACTTCTTCTTCCTTTTGGGACGTCTTCTCTTTCTCTCCAGCCCAAGAATCCTGTGGAGTTCACCTTTGAAATATTCTTTCAGAGGAAAATTGAAGTCGCTCAGTTGTGTCCGACTCTTAGCGAACCCATAGACGGCAGCCCACCAGGCTCCCCCATCCCTGGGATTCTCCAGGCAAGAATACTGGAGTGGGTTGCCATTTCCTTCATTCCTCTCCAATGCATGAAAGTGAAAAATGGAAGTGAAGTCGCTCAGTCGTGTCCGACTCTTAGCGACCCCATGGATTGCAGCCTACCAGGCTCCTCTGTCCATGGAATTTTCCAGGCAAGAGTACTGGAGTGGGTTGCCATTGCCTTAAATACTCTCTAAAATGCATCTAAGCAATGCATGGGACAGGGCGCTCAGGTCTGGTGCACTGGGATGACCCTGAGGGATGGGATGGGAAAGGGAGATGGGAGGGAGGGTCAGGATGGGAACACAGGTACACCCTTGGCTGATTCATGTGAATGTATGGCAAAAACCACCCCAATATTGTAAAGTAATTAGCCTCCAATTAAAATAAATTTTTTTAAAAAAGAAAAAAAAACCCATCTAGGTAAAATGACCCCGAGAGCCCTGCATTGTGTGTGTGCAGGAGTTGCTGAGAACAGAAGCAAGAGAGGGAAGCCCCCTGGTAATGAAGCTTCAGATGCTAGAATTAGGAGTTGCACATTCACCCTGTGGATTTGTCAGGGGAGAGATGGGAGTATCTCAGACTTCTTGTAGGGTTTGTTGGGGATCTTGGAATCTCTCTGTATTTCTTTAAAATGTTATTTATTTATTTGTTTTTGGCTGCGCTGGGACTTCATCGCTGCGTGGGCTTTTCTCTAGTCGTGGCAAGTGGGGGGTCCTCTCTGGTTGCAGTGTGCGGGCTTTTGTGCGGTGGCCTCTCTTGCTGTGGAGCATGGGCTCCAGGGCCTTCAGGCTTCTGGTTGCAGCTCCCGAGCTCCAGAGCGAGGGCTCAATAGTTGTGCACCGGCTCAGTTGCTCTGCAGCATTCAAGATCTTTAGCTGAGGCCTGTGGGACCTAGTTCCCTCACCAGGAACTGAACCCAGGCCCCCTGCATTGGGAGCACGGGGTCTTAGCCACTGGACCACCAGGTGAATCTCTCACACAGTTATTGAAATGCAGGAAGCAGGGGATGGCTCCTTGGCACCTCACCTCCATTTTTTTTCCCAGAAGGGAATTAATTCCCAGGAACCTCTGGAGGTTTGCTTGACCTCCTTCAAGTCATTCTCAAAACTGTGAGGCCAACCCAGATCACCGGCTTCAGTCCTGCATTCTGCGTGTCCACCACAGCACTCTGACTCCCTTGCCCTGATCCCCTGTGACTCCATTACTTTCTAACATTATAGATAATTCAGTTATATATTATGTAGCTTGCTTATTATTTGTCTCCCTCCACCCTTCCCCCATCCCTGCATAAAATGTAATTTCTTTAAGGGGCTGACAGCTATATTTCATTGTTAACAGTGTGCATCTTATCTAATTAGGACAAACAAAATTGGGCAAGTGATGCATATTGTATGAGATCAATATTGTAAGGCCTGCTTTTGTAATCAAAACTGAGAGATTACAGAGCACTGTACCAGCCAGTAACCCTCCTCTTTTTAAAATCATGTATGAACTTGTTTTCATGGACTAACTATTCAGAATTGGCAGGTTCCCACATTCTGTTCAATTTAATCAATACTGGCTTTTTTGTTTTGTTTTTTTTTTCTAGTGGGCTTCCCTGGTAGCTCAGCTGGTAAAGAATCTGCCTGCAATGCAGGAGACCTGGGTTCAATCCCTGGGTTGGGAAGATCCCCTAGAGGAAGCCATGCCAACCCACCGCAGTATTCTTGCCTGGAGAATCCCATGGACAGAGGAGCCTGGTGGGCTACAGTCCATGGGGTCGCAAAGAGTTGGACATGACTGAGCGGCTAAGCACAACACACACAGTGATGGATCAGTTTTGTGATACCAATAGAGAGAACCTGATCCAGTATTTGTATCTTTACAATTTTTAAAAATTATTTTATTTTTTGGCCATGTGGCATGCAGGATCTTAGTTCCCTGATCAGGGATGAAACCTGTGACCCTTGCAGTGGAAGTTTGGCATCTTGACCACTGAAACTGGTATTTGTAGCTTTTAAAAAGCACCTAACATAGTGCTTGGCACGTAGTGGAGTCAAATAAATCTTTGCTAAGTCAATGGTGGGGGGCAGCTCCAGGAAAGCAATACAGGTTGGAAGATAAGCTGAGGTCACTCATGGAAAGACACAACCATGTGCCAGCCCAGCCAGCCCAGTAGGAAAGGGTGTGGCGGGGGGAAGGACCTGGCTTTATTTTCACCTGTTGGAAAGAAAGTGGAAGTTATGCTACGGGAAGGACCCAGAAAGTCCCTCTTTCTTGTGGGACAGGGAAAGACAGAACCTTCATGGGGGTTGGGGGGAGGCTGGGTAGATGAGGATTTAGGGAGAGAAAACCTCGTTCCTTATGAAGAGGCAAATTCGGGAAGCCTACTCCAGTGGCAGCTGTGTCCTCTTGGGTGGGGCAGAGGAGAGGAAGGAAGGGGGCCCCAGGTGGGTGGGACAGAGCAGAGGACATCAAGAGAAGAGAAGAGTGGGTGGGTGGTCAGAAGACTCAGATATTCCAGGAAGAACAGGGTAGATGGTAAAGACCCTGAATGCTGACTTGTCTACCCCAGGTGCCCTCAGCCCAGGGAACCATAGGGTCTAAGAATGTATTGGAGTGATGGGGTCACAGGCATTGACTGATCGGGGTGTACAGAGGAGATGGGGCTGGAGATCGCCAGAGGCCACCTTAGGACCTTGGGAGGTGGCACACATGAAGGTTAAAAGCCAGGTAGACCAGAATCCTGGCCTCAGATGGACAAGTCATTGCACCTCTGTAAGCATCAGTGTTCTTAACTATGAAATGGAATAATATTATCACTTAGCCTACTCTACTTTGCATTTTTTCATAGCACGTGTCATCTTCTAAGATCCCACATAATTTACCTATTTGTTATATTTCTTATCGTCTCTTTCCCCACTAGAGCTGGGTTTTCTCTTTTCTGTCCCCTGCGTTCTCTCCAGCACCTAGAGCAGGAGCAGCAGGTGCTCAGGGAGTGTGTTGAATGACTGAGTGAGTGTGCTCCTCACTTCCTGTGAGTATTACAACACACCCCAGTAACAATGCCTAGAGAGGTTTCACGTGTTCTGAGCGCTCACTCTGTGCCAGTACTCAGGCGCTGTTTCCAGTACTTTCCCAGCATTAACCTGCTTGATCTTCACAGGCATTGTGCGAGGGGAGACTGTTTTTTATGTCCAGTGCGAGGGGAGACTGTTTTTTATGACACACACGGGATGATATAACCTTCGCAAAAAACCACTGCTGGGGGCATGGAGAACTTGGACCACAGCCCCTGAAGATGCAAAACCATTACCATCTTAAAGCTGAGGAAAGTGATGACCCTCTTACCATCTGGTTCCTCTCTAGGGGAACTGACATGCCCAAGGCCGCGGAGCTTGCAGGTAGAGGAACCAGGAATCCAACTCCTGCAGTCTGGCTCCAGAGTCAGTTTGCTCAGCCTCAGGCTTCACTGGAGCAGATCCTTGGTGAATGCTGTGGTGTGAATGGGACCCAAACAGGAGCAGCTATTGGAGGTGAGCTTAGATCGCTTTCCAATGATGCCAAGCTGCCCCTCCGGGCCTATGTAATCACTATGGAGTGTTCTCAACCTTATCTTGAACCACCCACCCTCTCACTTCCTCTCTTCTGGAGCCACTTGAATTTCCTTTTGTGCCTTCAACTCAGCACCTTCTCACATTCCGCTCCCTCTGCCCAGACTCACCCCCTGGCTCATCCCTGTATCCTCATCTCTGATGCCCTCTCCTCCAGGAAGCCATCTCTGATCCTCAGGCTGGGTCAGGCACTTACTCTGGGCTGCCCACCCCAGCCCCACTCACTCTGGGTCATCACTGACTGGGGGCAGGTCTGTCTGCCCTGCTGGACCTTGAGCTTGTGAAGGTAGAATTGGAGATTTCTGCTGTATTATTATATACTATTAGGTCCAGGAATCAGTCCAGAGGAAGAGTTTGGGGGAACAGCTGTTATTATGAAGGAATGAATGAACTGAAGTAAAAGAAATAGGTTGAAGGTAATTCTCTGACCAGGTCAGTTACATTCAATCTTGGTTTTTGAGGCTCCCAACAGCATGTCTTACCCAAAGGGAATTTTTTTTTTAAAAAAAAAAAAATAAAAACCAAAAAAAAGGGTGGTTTTTTTTTTTTAATCCTCCACGTCTCAGTTCAGATGTCCTCTCCTCCAGGAAGTCTTCTCTGCCTCCTCCCCGAAGGCTGAGTCAGGTACCCCTTGGGGCTATCCCCACCCAGCTCTGGGCATCCTGCCCTTCAGACTCCAGCGCCTTTGTGACCAGGACTCCCTATCATAAGTGTCACTTCAGTTCATTTTGTATTTCCAGGCAGCTCATGGTGAACTTCTAGAGAAGAGAATGGCAACCCACTCCAGTATTCTTGCCTGGAACATCCCACGGACTGAGGAGCCTGGCGGGCTACAGTTCAGGGGGTCACAAAGAGTTGGATGCGACTGAACATATGGTTAACCTGGCACTGTTTTATCAAGCTCTGGATAACCAGGAGCCATCATTATTGATTTTATTGTTGTAGCTGTTGACCATTATAATCTCAGTTCCTGTTCCTTTAACGCTGACATTCTTAACTTGCCCCTCCCTGGCACTGCTTCTCCCTGCCAGCTCCCTCATCCCCATCCTGGTGGGCCTTTGAATGGGAAGAGGCGTAATTTTCAAGGGGATCCGGGGCCAGAGGGCGGGGCTTCTTCCTCCTTCCGCGCCTTGGGGAAAACCCCAGGGTTCCGGGGACTGCTGGACTTCGGTTTTCTCCGTGCTGGGAGGAGGAGGAAAGTAAAGCCTGGGGGAGAGGGCTGAGGCAGGTGCAGCCAAAGTTCCTCCCGTGCCACCCTCGCTGTCTGTCCCGGGAGCCACTGTCACCGAAGTGCCTGTGGGCCGGCAGCTGGGCAGAGGGGAAAAGAGAGCTGGAGAGGCTGCAGGCGGGTGAGGACGGGGACTGCGTGTGGAAGCCGGGAAGACAGCTTGGCGCTCTGAAGTCAGGTGTCAGGCCCCATGGAGTCCGCTGACCTACGGGGCCGCCGCTGGGCAGGAATCCTGCTCTCAGGTGAGTGTCCTGCTCCCTTCAGGTGGGGGAGGGGAGGGGGTGTGTGTTCGTGTGTGCGAAAGAGACCCATATAGAGACGAGAGAAACAGAGACAGAGACAGGAATAAACTCAAATACAAGAGATTGACAAGAGACTTCCTCAGCAGTCCAGTCCACGCTCCCAACGCCCAACTCCCAACTCAGGGGGCCCAGGTTCAATCCTTGGTCGGAAAACTAGATCCCACATGCCTCAACGAAGACCCAGGGCAGCCAAACAAAATAAGAGAGAGATTGACAAAGGGGGGCAGAGAAACAGACAGAGACATACACACGGAGGAGGAGAGACAGAGGGAATTAGAGCCATAGAACCAGAGAGAGGCAAGAGAGAGTGAAAATTACAATAGAAACTGTACCAGAGGGAAAAACAGAGCAAAGAGGAGACAGGGAGCCTGAGGACAAAGAGCAAAAAATCTCTGCAGGGCTTCTCTGGTGGGGCTCAGTGGTCAAGAATCTGCCTGCCAATGCAGGAGACGCAGGTTTGATCCCTGATCTGGGAAGATCCCACATGCTGTTGAGCAACTAATCCGGTATGCTGCAACTACTGAAGCCCGCATGCCCTGGAGCCCGTGCTCCACAACAAGAGAGGCCATCATAGTGAGAAGCCCGAGCCCCGAAACTAGACAAAAGCTCAGGCAGCAACGAAGACCCAGCGCAGCCATAAACACATACATATTAAAAATTAATTTTTTTAAAAAAGAAAAATTTTCAAAGATACGTACAGAGAAATAGATTCAGGGGAGTCAGGGTGGGGAGAGACAGAGAACCAGAGCTGGAGTATAACAGACAGGAGTGAGACCGGCAATGAGAGGTCGTGCCAGCCCTGAGAGGCACGCCAGGCTCCTCTGTCCTTCCCTGTCACCTGGAGTTCGCTCAAATTCATGTCCACTGAGTTGGTGATGCCATCTAACCATCTTATCCTCTGCCACCCCTTCTCCTCCTCCCTTCAATCTTTCCCAGCAGCAGGGTCTTTTCCAATGAGTTGGCTCTTCCCATCAGGTGGCCAAAGTATTGGAGTTTCAGCTTCAGCATCAGTCCTTGCAATGAATGAGCCTATGGACTTCACCTCCAATAGCACTGAGGATAGAGAATTTCAGATGGTTTTCCATTGTCAGTTATTACAAGCACAGGAAATAACAATGGCAATAATAGTAATAACTAAGTACTAATAATAGTGACTAACACTTACTGTAAACCATCATGTCCGATATCAGACCTCACAATAACCTGATGCACTCAGTTCTACGGTTCTCCCTGTTTTGCAGTTGAAGAAACTGAGGCTCACAAAGAGAAAGCCCCTTACCCAGGATAATAGACAAAGTCCATTATCATTATCAGAATCCATATTTGCTCCTAAGAGCCCTTGTCTTTAACCCAAATGAGAAGGGGATGGGGCAATGCTTGATCTAAATTGGGGTCATCTGAGGGCTGGAGAAAGGCATGGCTGCCTGCCTTTGTTAATTGGGCGAATGGTTAGGGCAAAGACAGGAGTTTCAAGGTCAGCGGCACATGGCCATAGCTGCTGGGGTTGGGTATCCCCACCTATGCCCACAATCTCTGAGCTTCCATAAAACTGTGTGCAGAATGGCCAAATGGAAAACCGAAAACTGCTATCTCATTCCCTCTTCTCCCCTCTGTGCAGAGGAAATCTCTGCCTGAGGGCAAGCATGCCGAAGAATGAAAGGTTACTTTCTCCCATCAAAGATAACAAAAGAAGTTCCCCTTTACTGGGGGTTGGCTCTGTGCCCAACCCTGGACCAGAGGAATTGCAGTGCTGAGAGCAAAGTCTTTAGGAACTGGCAAGCCAGGTTCAAGTCTAGCTTCTGATGCTTACTATCTGGTCTTGGAAAGTGACTTCACTGATCTGAGTGTTTGTTTACCTCTCACTGGAAGGGAAAGGCATCTTCCACGGAATGAGCATCACTGGAGAGAGTGCAGTGACCCTCAGGGGATCCAGTTAAAACTGGTCAGTGTTCATTACCACCCCCTACAATCCTAGGAGGCAGATGATATTATTCCCATTTATAGCTGGGGAAACTGAGGCTCAGAGACGACAAAACATGCCTCAAGTCACATAGCCAGGAAGTAGTGAGTGAAAGTCAAGCCTCTAGGGGTGGAGGGCCCCATTCATGACCTCAGACCTCCCTCCACTCAGGAAGACCACAGCTGGACACCCCCAACACACCTTCCTCCCTGAATGCCTCCTCTTTCCCCCTCCAGCCTCACTTTTGACCGTGTGGAGCTTGGCAGCTGCAGCCCAGATCTCCCGTGATGCCTTCACCCTAAGTGAGAAGGATGTTGTTCCGTCTACATTTGGGGCCCCTTGGTCACCCCAGACTCATGGTAGATTCAGGGCACAGAAAACATTCTGTGTCTCATTCTGGTCTCTATCTCCACCCTCAAGCACTCATCCGGGTTCCATGCCCAAAGTCCCAACAGGAGAAACCTGATTGGCCCAGTTAGGCAATGGCTGGGCCAATCAGTTGTGTTGGAGAGGGGGCGGGGGGTGTGAAGGGGTGGATGTCCTGGCTGGGGCTAGGGAAAATTGGCTAAGAAGTGGTAGAGGGACCTGGTTGTTATCCGCAATACAAGCTTGACTTCTTTGCAGCCAATAATAATTGACCCACCGTCATGTCCCTGACCCTCTGTTTTATTTGCAACATCTCATTTACTAGGGGAGAGGAGACTTGAGGGTCCCAAGATCACACCTAGAATGAGAACTAGATCCAGCATTGGAGACCAGTCATGGAGCTGAGGAGTGTCTGCATGCAATTCCAACCCCTCCCTGTTTCTCGGGGTCCCTCTGTGACTATATTTTGCTTGGTCTATCCTTCACCTGTGTCTCTGCTTCTGTCTCCCCCTACTCTGTTTCTCCCTCTGTAGAAACTCTGGCCAAGCCCACCATTTCAGTTAGCCAGGGCACAGTCATAGAGCACAGGGAAAATGTGACCTTCTGCTGTGACACTCCGGACATCAACATCACCATCCGCTGGGTCTCCAACCACCAGCCCCTGCCATCCCATGAGCGCATACAGCTGTCCACAGATGGCAAGAACCTCACCATCCTCACTGTCCAGCGGCAGGATGCTGGGGAGTACCAATGTGAAGCTTGGGATCTGGGACTCCTCCTGGTCAAGAGCAGTGACCCCACCTACCTGACTGTGTATTGTGAGTCCCTTTCCATTCTCCCCAGCCCCTCAGCAACACCCGCTTCCTCAGTGATCTCATCCAGTCTCGCAGCTTTACATACCATCCAAATGTGGACTTGTCCATCCCTGAACTCCAGACATATAGCTGTTTGACATCTCTACTTGGATTCTCCTGGGAACGTCCAACGTGATGTGCCTAAAATCGAGCTCCTTAACTTTCAAATATTTGATCCAAAATATTGCCTAGGTAGTCGTGAGGAAAGAGCAATTGCTGGCATGCTTTATTTTTTTATGTATTATTTTTATTTTTACTGCTCTGGGTGACAGGCAAGCTCCTCTTGTTGTGGAGCACAGGCTCTAGAGCAGTTGGGCTCAGTAGTTGCAGTGCAGGCATAGTTGCCCCACAGCATGTGGGATCTTAGTTCCTCAACCAGGGATCAAACCTGCATCCCCTGCACTGGAAGGCAAATTCATAACCAGTGGACCACCAGGGGAGTCCCTTGCTGGCATGCTTTAGGTGTGTCTTTCAAACCTGCTTTACCCAGGGATGCATGTGGCATATCCTCACTGTCAGACTCTAACATCTCCTTTGTAATGGTTCAGAGTTTGAGGGAAGAGAAGAGAAAAGTTCCTGTTTATCGAATGCCTGGGTCCCCCTAAGAGAGCTCTCACTGATGATACTATTGTTGTGCTACAATTGTTCTTGTCCTCGCAGATGGCCCTGACCTGGTCACGATCAAGTGGGAGCCTGGTGTAGCCAACGGGAATGTGGTTGAGGTGATGGAGGGCTCCAATGTGACCTTCTTGGCAGAAACTGAGTCTTACCCACCAGCTTTATATTCTTGGTATTTCGCCAGTGAATCCAAGCCCATCCCAAGCTTGTTCCTCAACACGAGCAGTGGTACCATCCATGCCGTGTCCAAAGAACACAAGGGCACCTACAGCTGCTTGGCGTCCAACATTGCCACCCAACTGACCCTCCTGGGCACTGTCAAAGTCCGCGTCCTCGGTGAGTCTCTTTCCCCGCTCCTGGCCTTTGTGCCTCTGAGAGTCAGGGCTCCACTGACATCCTCCAGCTGGAGGAGGGTGTGGTGGAGTGGGGCTCTCCCTTGCGGCTGGTGGCAGACTGGCTCTGGGCACAGGGAAGGAGCCAGGTCCTTGTTTGGCACATCCTCCACAAGGCTTTGGAGGCTCTCTGTGGGGTGTCTATCACTTTATTCTCCTGAAGTGTGGGAGGCGATTCTCTGTACATACAAACACTAACACAGCACTCACACACCCCATACACACATGGACACACACACATAACAATCACACATGCAGGGGACTTCTCTGGTGTTCTGGTGGTTAAGATGCACTCCCAATGCAGGGGGCCTGGATTTGATCCCCAGTTGGGGAACTAAGATTCCTCATGCCACATGACACGGCCAACAGTCACGCATGCATCGCAGATACACACATGTGCACCACAGACACATACAGCTCACATACAACACATACAACTCACACGCAGCACATACACACAGCATACAAAAGCACGTAACACACACACACACAAGACCCATATAACATGTACCCAACAGACACACACAATACATGAAACACACAGGACATAACATATCACACATACCACACATACACGTACCATACACATAAAGCCCACAACATGTACATAAATGTACTCACACGTAGGCAGAGCACATGCACAGTATTTAGAAAACACAGACACACATATCTCAAATATGTGACAAACAATACCACAGACACACAACATGTTCTCCCATAAAACATGTATACACACAAAACATAATATCCACCCAATAGACACCTACAACACACATCACAGACACTCAACATCCTCATGTACAACACAGAAAACACCTCACATACCACACATTTAGCACCCTCAGCACATGCAGAACACACAGTACATAACTGTACTTCACACATTGTAGTGATATACCAAGCATGTAGGTATGTACATACATGTACTGTGCTTGTAAATACATGGTACAACATATACACAGAACACATACATTACCACAGACACATAACATATACTCATGTACAGAAGATATACACACACACAACATATACTCACTTGCCCACAAAGTACGTGTGTGTGTGTGTATATATGTATGTGTATGTATGTATATACACACCACCATACCTCACAGTCACAATACATATATACACAACACACACATATAGATAGACACAAAAGGGACTTCTCTGGTGATCCAGTGGTTAAGTCCAGTTGCCAGTGCAGGAGACAAGGGTTCAATCCCTGGTCTGGGAAGATCCCTCGTGCCAGGGAGCTACTAAGTCTGTGTACCACAGGCACTGAGCCCATACGCCCTAGAGCTCGTGTTCCACAGCAGGAGAAGCCACCACAATGAGAAGCCTGCACACCACACTAGAGAGCAGGTCCCACATAACACAACTAGAGAAAGCCCTCATGCAGTAACAAAAACCCAGCACAGGCAAAAATAAAGACACAGAACACACACACACAAAACTCATCCATGTACCACACACTCGCCGTACACACAAAACCTGTAACATATTCACATAATTGTCACACAACACACGCTCATACACAAAAGACTTAGATACCCCACCCACACAGCACAGTCATATGCAACACACACACACACACACACACACACACACACACACCACACACCACATAAACACACATCCCTGGGAAATCCTGTGGGCCCCATATGGGCAGGAGACTGGCAAAGGGTGTCCCTGGACCCCGTCCCGTCTCTCCATGTGTTTCCAGAAACACTGACCAAGCCTTACGTCATACCCCCAAACCGGACTCTCGTGGAGGACACCAAGTTGGTGGTCCTGACCTGCCAGACCCCCCATGAGGGAGTTGGAGTCCACTGGTTCCTGGGGGACCAGCTTCTCCTGCCCAGCGAGCACCTGATGCCTATAAACAACACCCTGGTCATCCTCGGCCTTCGGCGGAACGACACTGGGCCCTATGCGTGTGAGGTCTGGAACTGGGGCAGCCGGGCGCGGAGTGAAGCCCTGAAGTTGAACATCAGCTGTGAGTCGTCCCTAGCCTGAACCTTCTCCTCCTTCCTCCTCTCTCCCTTGCTGAAGTTCTTACATCCAGCCACTCATCCCATAATTATCAAACACCTGCTCTGTGACAGGCGTGTCTGAACAGGGGACAAGGCCACCCTCAAGGAGCTTTATGTTCTAGTGGGGGAGACAGACCATACACAGCTGAACAAGGGGAAATCCATGCTGTGTCAGATGGAACTAGAGGCAGTGAGAAAGACAGGCAAGGCTGGGAAGTTGGGGAGGTGTTGCAGTCCTGGCTGGGGTGGTCAGGTGAGGCTTCCTGGAGGAGGTGTTATGTGTGCAGCAGGAGGCAGGGAGAGAGCTGTGCAGGTGACCAAGGGAAGTGAGTCCCAAGGCTGGTGAGGTGGGACTGTGCTTGGCCTGTCAGAGGAATCCCAGGAGGCCAAGATGACTGGAGAGGTAAGTTATAGGGAGAATGGAACAGAAGAAGCTGGGAGGGTGGGGGTAATAGACCACACAGGGTCCCGTGGGCCATGGTGGGGACACTCGAGCCACAAAAGGCTCTGAGCAGAGGAGAGAGAGGATTAGACTGGGGTTTGCACAGAGTCTTTCTGGCCCTTGTCTAAAGGGTGGAAACAGGGGAGAGGGAGGAGGTGATACAGTTGTTTTTGTCTGATTCCATGGAGAGGCAGACCCCAAAATGGGATTCAATGGATCATACATGCAAGGATTTTCTTAAGGGAATGCTCTTGTGCAGAAAAGGTAGGGAGGGAGCCTCAAAAGAGTGGGATTGCCCTCAGACTGAGGTACTTGGAGTGAGGGAGGAAGACAGAGTACAGAGTTGGGTGGGAGCATTTGGACCACTGTATAGTCTAAGGAATGTTGTCAAGACTCTACGGGAGCCCAGGTCTCCCAGGAAGGGGTCTGCCTTACTTTCTCCAACACCCTCAGGTACTGACAGGGTGCAGCCCAGGAGAGGCCTGGGAGTGGATTACAGGGTACAGCAGCTGGGCCCTTGGTCAATCCCACTCTTACTGATGGAGGTCTGTGAGGTATCCTCTTGTGGTAGGCACAGTCATCCATCAAGAACTGACAGGGCTGATCAGCTGTAGTGATCAGACCATGAATATATTTTAAATATCAAAGTCACAGGGTTTACTGCTAGTTGACATGAAGCAAGAGAGAAAGGGAGGAGCCAAGAATGACTCCAAGATTTTTTTTTTTTTTTTTTTTGGCTTAAGCTACCATCAGCACTATAAGAACTATAAACATGTTGGAAGTTAGGGGATACATGTCACAGGACACAGCAACAATTTCTGAAGCCTGGATGTCTTATGAGGCTTCCTTGTTAGAATTCACTTTTGCAAGGGCAGGGTTTTTGTTTTTCATTTTCATTTTGTTTTGTTTTGGACTTTCCCCCTCCATGTTGTGGATTACATTCTGCTTGCTCAGCACCTAAGGGAGAGGAAAAGGGACCTTTTTCTCCTTCTTCTCTTGCCAAGATTCCTTTCAGCAGCAGTTGGAAAAGCCTTTGACTCCCAGGAATTCCCTCAGTTAAAATTGAGAAGGGGGGAGAAAAGAAAGCAGAACTTCACATGTGGAATTGAATGGGATAAAATAGGTTATCTCGATAACCCTATATGCAAGACAGAAAAAGAGACACAGATGTATAGAACAGACCTTTGGACTCTATGGGAGAAGGCAAGGGTGGGATGATCTGAGAGAACAGCATCGAAACATGTATATTATCAAGTGTGAAACAGATCGTCAGTCCAGGTTGGATGCATGAGACAAGTGCTCAGGGCTGGTGCACTGGGATGACCCAGAGGGATGGGATGGGGAGGGAGGTGGGAGGAGAGATCAGGATGGAGAACACATGTAAATCCATGACTGATTCATGTCAATATATGGCAAAACCACTACAGTATTGTAAAGTAATTAGCCTCCAACTAATAAAAATAAATGGGAAAAAAAGTCATAACTGAAAAAAAATAGGTTATCTCACCGGTGGAGGATGGGAGCATAATATTTGGCTCTGCACGCAGACGGCCCCGATCGAGTGTACTTCACCAGCGGGTCAGAGACCCTGGCGGACAACACCATCAGTGCGGAGCTCAACTCCACCCTGATCCTGCAGTGTTCGGCTGAATCCCAGCCGGACGCTGAGTTTAATTGGACCCATGACAAAACCAGTGTGTGCCAGGGGGAGCAACTGCTCATCGAGGCCCTGACTTGGAAACACCAAGGGAATTACAGCTGCACAGCTTCTAACCCTGCCACACTGCTGACCTGCTCTGCCTCAGTCATGGTCCGCGTCATAGGTGAGTCTTTCAGGTAAGCCTTCCCTTTGCGTCCAGGTGACTTTCTCTGATGCTGGCCTTAGCACTCTGATCTCTTATTAGGGACTGGAGTGTGGCACTGGCTGTCCTGATGGGCAGGTTCCTAGTTCCGAGCTGTTGAATTCCGGCCACTAACAGTCAGACTCAGGGACTTCCCTGGAGATCCAGTGGTTAAGACTCTGTGCTTCGACTATGTGTGCTTCCACTGCAGGGGGTGAGGGTTAGATCTCTGGTCAGGGAACTAAGATACTGCATGCTGCAAAGTGGCCAAAAAATAGAAAAAAAAAATTTGTGATCTCATTTCATCTTCAGAGCATCCCTATACAGTAGGTACCATTTCCCCCACTTTGCAAATGAGGAAATGAGACTCAGAAAGTGTAGCTACTTTTCTCTGTGTCCACAGGACCCCAGAGAGTCAAAGGTGACTCAGGTTTCCAGTTGCCAAAGCCCTTTGCTATGACAGCCATATTTTTTTTTTTTTAGTTTTTTTTTTCCATTTATTTTTATTAGTTGGAGGCTAATTACTTTACATCATTACAGTAGTTTTTGTCATACATTGAAATGAATTAGCCATGGATTTACATGTATTCCCCATCCCGGTCCCCCCTCCCACCT